CATGCTAAACAAAATGGCTGGCTGGCTGAGCATGAGGATAGGTTTCAGGTTGCTCCCTCTGGGCCAGGTACAAACATTACACTTTTACTAGTATAATGGATCAGAAACTGGTCTATATCTGTAACAGAACAAAAGTTCAACACACACAAGACTGGTTTAAAAATGGTGGTACCCAGTCTAAGATTTGTCCCTTCCCACCAAAGGGTGAATGTGTGCTCTGTTTGCCAAACTGTCCAAGCTCTGCTGCTTACAGAAAACTGCACAACTTAGATCAATTCTGCCTTTGGCTTTTTTAACGTCTGTACCTAGCCCTGGTGAGAAGTAGTCTCCACGTCAGCTCCACACATACAGCTGATGGCTAAACACCATAATCTCGTTTACATGTACAAATCAGAATACATATAAAGCCATGGTCTCTTGACCATCCCTCATACCTACTAAGCTAAAGTTTCCACTGAGGCCATCCCATTAGTAAGAGTGAATGTCTCTCCTTAGTTTGGATTTGGGCTAGACCTGATGAAAAGATACTGAAAGAATTTAAGAACACTGTAAGGCTTTAAAAACATGAAAAGGTATAACCATGCTGCTCTGCCTGAAGAAGGCAACATTCAACTACAGTGTGTTCTTTCAGCCCTGACCTAGAAGTCAGACATGGACATTAAATGCACATATACTACACAGCAGAAGTAGGCAGCAAAGAGGATTTTGGAGTGACTGAAGATGGGAATCAGAAGAGAGGTCACAAAATAAATAACTGGATAAGGAGCCAGACATGAAGCAGAGACATCATGCAGAGCATCAAAATGAGCAATTGCCACTGGGCAATACATTCATCACAAAGACATAATGTCAGAGGAACCATACAGGTGACCAAATGGATTGCTTTTATGGGAAAAGAACACAAATAGCGTTAAAAAAGCATTGTTCTGATAAAATAAAAGCCTACTTTAAAGAGTGGGTTGTCATACCTTCAACAGAAAATAGGAGGATTCAAGCAGGAGAGGTCTCGGACCTTTCAATGGATTCAGTTAGCTTGATGTTGCTGACAATATAATTGCAGTATGAATATGGAATTCATTAGTTAGTGATATATTTGAATAAGTAGTTCTGTATAAAAGCAACTACAATTACACACAGCTGTAAAGCCTACTCCTACTCCTACTGAAGTCTGTGGCCGTTTTGTTACAGACATCACTGGAAGCAGGATTAGTGCAGTAATCAGCACAAGCACAGCCATCATTTTTCATTTACTTGTAACCGTCACTGCTTATGATGGTAAAAAGCAACACTTTTTTTACAATTATAAAGCAAAGCCCTGCAGAGATTTCAGCTACTCTGTGCATAATGGCATATGATCAAGTCTTTTCTGAACAAAAAAAAGTATTTCCCTCCTACGTGTATATAATTCTAATACTATGATGAGTGCATTTGTTCTACTGTTGGTTAAAACCACCATATGCTGCTGACTTTTACAGAAGGATTTGGTCAATGTATTCCTTATCTCCAATATAAATATTGTTTTGGATCTCCAATCCATACACAACAAGGATCCATTTACTGAAACATAAGCAACACTAATTTTTTTGTGTTCTGTTTGTTTTTCATACTCAGAATAACACAAATGTGTCTGTAAACTAACCCTTATTTCAGTTATGCTAACAATCAATTGTCTGAAAGGGATGCCCAAAATACCTGAAAAATGGAACTATCATTCAATTCAAAGACCCAAACTCACAATATAGACTATACAGAGCCAGTGGACTGGACTGTGTACTCACCTGCAGAAATGTACAAGCAGAATTTTTGCATGAACATACTAAAAAAAATGTAGGTAGTAAGATAGCTGATTGTAACCATATGCAAAAAATAATAATAATAAAATAAGCAGATAGCATTTGCACCAGTGATTGGCAGTTGATGATGAGACGAAATTCAAAGAGATAGAGTTTACATCAATCGGGGTATTGATATAGTAACAAGTAGCTTACACAAATTGTGATCAGCTCTCAACAGGTAATGGCAGCTCATTTTATCCATGCTGTAAAAATAGTGGGAGGAAATTCCTCATCTAGTTGCACTGCACAGATAGTAAAATGCATTAGCATTCCCTCTGATCAGAAATAGGCTTCTCTTTTCTTCATTTACCTAGCAAAAACCATGGTCTGCTGGAGTAGAAGAAACATGGCCAATTCATATGGATCTGTTGAATCAACCAGTAAAGCTTCCACAGCATTCCCTAATACCCTATCCTTGAGCTGTGACTCCATTTGCTTCAGAGCAACCTAATGTTACTAGGATGTACATGCAAGAGTAATGGCTGTGTTATACAAAAAAACTTTCCCAATATAGCTGTGCTCTAGGAGGTACAAACTCCCAGTCAATGAAAAGTTTGGATTTTAGGAAGCAGCATTTAGAAACCTACTAGGAAGGAGTAATTGGGTAATAGTAGAAACAAGGTATATTTGCAAGAAGTCAATAACTTTTGTGTTTGGAATTAACCCGTTATTTATGTATGCAATTTATATAAAAAAGCATGCAATTTATATAAAAAAGCTGATCACTTGCTTTCCTAACCTATGGGTTCAATACTAGTGATAGATCTTGTGAAAATTAAAAGCAGGCAGCTTTCAAAAACACACATCCTGACAAAACAAGTCATTACAAATGATGGGCAGAACCAATAGACTCTTGACACATCTAGACAGACTGTTTTATAGCACAAGGGAAAACTGACTAGACATTAGTAATGTTCAGACAGACAAAGTGACTACATCCATGTGAGTTGTAGGTTTTTATTGTCTCTATGACTCATTGCACTATTTTCGGTCACTGCAGCCAGTCTCTCCTGACTTTCAGACTATCTGCACTGAAAGCAGTATAGGAACATTTGTACCATATTGGTTTCATGCACATCTACATTAACATGGTCTTAGCCATAGTGTAGACCCTTTAAATAGGCCCTAGGGTATTTTATAGGAGTGAGTGAATAAAAGTTAAATCAAGAAATAAAGCTAAGGAGAAATAGCATTAAAGGAAATAGTCATAGGAAAGAGAACTTTAAAAGTTGGGAATTTTTCAGCTCTAAGCTAGTTTGACCATAGGGTATATCTACTTTCTATATTTGTGTTAATCTAGCTTTATATTATTTATGACATGATAAAAGAAGGGCTCTGCCCAGTGTCAGAGTTCCTACAATGCTGGACTTCTGTTCAACCTGAGATACCATCTGCATCTGTAACAAGACACTGTTCCTTCAGAAGTTATTCTCTAAAACTTAGGCAAGGTTGTCTTTAACAGACTGGCCATCTGGCAGTGATTCTTTGCATTGCAGACTTCAACAGCTGTAGGTTTTAAGGTTCCATTTAATTCTGTTATGTTTATGAATTTTTCGCTGCCTATAGATATACATCTATATCTATATCTATATATGTGTATATATATATATATAGAGAGAGAGAGAGAGATTTGTCTAGGTAGCTGTTCCAATGATATATGTGGGGGGAGGGGAGGTGTACAATTCACACACTCTCTTTTATGCATTATTTGTATCGTGTTATTCTGTATTTACTTGTAGCATTCCATTGTTAAGGTTGACACTAAAGTCTCTTTATACTCACTACTTTGGAAAAGTTGTTTTCTTTGGGGCCGGTGCCTCTAATTCCCTTGGTGCTCACATTCCATCTGGGGATCAAGAATAATAAGTAATACACTGTTTGGTAAGTGTAATACAACCGGCTGAAAACATTTTGACTGTACTTTGGTAAACTGGAATATCAGCAAAATTGCCTTTGGAAAACATGTATTACACTATTGACTCAACCACATGTTAATTACATATTCATCCTATGTATCTGGGGGGATTTAATAACAGTCTTCAAATACCTGAAGGGCAATTATAAAGAGGATGCAGACAGACAGTAGGGGATAGGAGTAAGAGCAATGGCCACAAAACATAGCAAAAGAAACTTAGGTTGGAGATTAGAAAGAACTTTCTATGAGAATGGATAAGCTTTGGAACACACTATCTAGACAAATTGTAGAGCCTCCAGCCCCAGAAATGTTCAAAGGCAGGTTAGACAGGCAATTGGCTGGGATGGGTTAGTCAGGAATGATTTTGCTGTCAACAGGCGGCTGAACTAGATAACTTCCTGAGGTCCCACCCACCCCTACTTTCCTATGAACTTTTAAAATTGTATTTTATGATTATCACTATTTTATCAACGCACATGAAATGTGTTCTTGGTGAGAAGTGCATTAGACAATAGTGTTCACTGAGCAATATCTATACAGAGATTCCTAGTATGAAATGACAATTTCCTGGGATTTTGTAGCCTCAGATTATTCCCGTTTCCAAAACACATACAGAAAACATACAAGCAAGGCAGAGTTAAATTGAATTAGATGTTTCTTTGTTGAAATCACAGACTTTCTATCACAGGGATGCCTGTCATCCAATGCAATCATTAAGACAGAAGTTTACAGATTTCTGAAATCTAGTGTATTCATAATGGATATGCTACTTGTTTAACATTTTAATAAGTTAAAATAAAATCTGTCCACCACAAATAAATAGTGTCATTCTTTTTTATAAGTCAGCCAAAATAATATTGCATAGCAGTCACTACTACTCAGTGTATGCTTTCCATCACATAATACTAAACATTCCACACAGCCCAGTTTAATTAATATGTTGCTTATGTTGCTCAGCAGAGTGACCTCAGGTCCTCTCATACCATCACATTAATTTCCCCAAGTAGATAGAAGAAATGGCTGCTGCAGTCACTACATATTGCCGGCCATCCATTCTTTCCAGGGCAGATTCATATATTAGCAACACTGGTCAGTGAATACTGTGAGAACATTGCCTTTGACATCCTTGAATGAGGAAAGTTACTTCAGTGGTTAGGACACTCGCTGAGAACATGCGAGACAGAGGTTCAGTTTCCTCCTCTATTGCAGACTTCTTTCCTTCAAAACTGGAAATAATAGTGCTGCCTTACCTCACTGGGGCGTTGTAAGATGCTCAGCTACAAAGGTGATGGGTACTGTATACAGAGAAGGATTAATCAACCTCTACATTGCCGAACAACCTGAGTCATCAGGGACATTCCTGAGTGTCATGAAGCTAGTAAGACTATTGACAGTACGTGCTTGTTATGCAACATTGCCATGCACAAAAGTTTGCTATCAGTAAATGAGGCACTAGATGACAACATCACACCCCATAGATAATCATATGCTCACTTTCCAGATATTGAGACTGAGTGTGTTCTGTTGTCAGCAATTGCATGACTTGCCAGTAGTCGAATAAATGGAGTCGACAGTCATTGGTAATGCATTGTGCTAATCTTAGTATATAAAAGGTAACAGATTGTTTTTATTTCTGTAAATTTCATTATTGATTATCTTTATTGTAAAGGCTAATTCAGCTTTTAATGGTTTTAGATTCTCTATCCCTCAAAACAAACCCATTGAGAAGGTTACTTCTGGCTATAAACAGATAATGCATTTACCTCGGAAGAAAGCCTTTTGTCCCCAAATCCTACAGACGTATACATTCATTGTCTTACTTTGAGTCCCTGTGAAGTATGCCAGATAAAATGTGTCACCTGTTTTTCCCATGACATCTGTATGGTTGCTGAGATTCATTCCAGGGACAAGCTGGTCAGGCTAAGACCTTTCTGGAAGGAACAGAAATGAAGTTTGGAAGGGCAACATGTAAGTGACTATGTTGGTCCTGTTTTGCTCCAGGGCAAATTAGTCCCAGATCTTATGCTCTTATGTCAAATGAGATGTTTTTGTACAGCCTTTTCACAGGCTCCATGATTTCATAGATTTTAGGATCGGAAGGGACCTATTAGGTCACCAAGTCCGACCCCCTGCCCTGGGCAGGAAAGAGTTCTGGGGTCAGATAACTCTAGCCAGGTATTTGTCCAGTCTCCTCTTAAATACCTCCAAGGAAGGGGATAACACCACCTCCCTTGGAAGCATATTCCATATTTTGACAACCCTCACTGTAAATTTTTTTTCCTGATGTCCAATTTAAATATGCTCTCCTTCAGTTTGTGGCCATTGTTTCTAGTTACCCTGATGGGCGCCCTGGTAAACATCATATCCCCTATTTCCTGATGTCCATTCCCAATGAGTTTGTAGACGGCCACAAGATCACCTCTCAGCCTTCTCTTGCGGAGGCTGAAGAGATTCAGGTCCCTCAGTCAGTCCTTGTAGGGTTTTTTCTGCAGGCATTTAACCAGATGGGTGGCCCTCCTCTGAACCCATTCCAGGTTATCTACATCCCTCCTGAAGTGCGGCACCCAAGACTGGATGCAGTACTTCAGCTGTGGTCTGACCAATGCTGCATAGAGGAGAAGTATCACCTCCCTAGACGTGTCTATGATGCACCTACTTATGCAAGAAAGAGTGCAGTTAGCTTTACTTATTACTTCATCACATTGGTGACTCATGTTCATTTTGGAGTCGACTACGACTCTGAGATCCCTTTCCACTGTTGTGCTACTTAGGATGCTACCTCCCAG